TGATACCAGAAGGGCAGGGAGAAGAGAGGAAGAGTAAGGGAGAGAAGGGGAACTGATCACAATGATCGACACATAACCACACACCCCTCTCCAGTGGGAAGAACAACAGAAACCATGGGAGAAGGGAGACAGAGGTTGGTGTGAGACATGAAATTAATAACAATGTACAATCTATCAAGGGGTTATTGGGTGGGGGGAGGAGAGGAACTGATACCAAGGGCTCAATAGAAAGTAAATGTCTAGAAAAGAATGAAGGCAACATATGTGCAAATTTGCCTGATGCAAGCCATGTATGGATTGTGACATGAGTTGTAAGAGTTCAAAAAATCAAATTAAATTAAAAAAATTAAAGTCTGACTGGTTTGAAAATGAAGTGCCATTAGAGTTAATGAGGAACACATGGTAATTGAATGAAGATTATCTACTTGTCTGGGTAGACTTCTCTCCCTCCATTCATTCCCTTTCCCACACACTGCTTCAAAGAGTGACAACGGGAGAGGGCAAGTGCTACCTGTATATCTACTGAGGAGACTTAAAGCAGTGGTTCTCAACCTTCCTAATGCTGCGACCCTTTAATACAGTTCTTCATGTTGTGGTGACCCCCAACCATAAAATCATTTTCGTTGCCACTTCATAACTGTAATTTTGCTACTGTTATGAATTGGGCGACCCTTGTGAAAGGGTCTTTCAACCCCCAAAGGGGTCGCGACCCACAGGCTGAGAACCGCTGGCTTAGCAGTTCAAGTTCACTGCAGTCATGATGAGTGTGGCTATCTTGAGTTTGGTAACTTAAATGTCGTGGAGCACTGAGCATGTTTAGATGAGGTACCAATGTGGATTCTGATTTAGTATTGCTGGGATGCAAATGCAAATTCCTACGGGTTGAAGTGGAATGGATCTGTTCAAAACCCTGGTCTTAACATTGTGTCTGGTTCCTAATCAGCTTTCAAGGGACATTTATTGAATAAATGATTGGCTGAAAAGACAAAAAAAACCCTCTGGATTCATTACCTATCAGATATAAACATTGGTGGCTATAAAAGGAGGAAGAGTAAAACGGAAACAGACTTGGATTCTTTTGTGACATAAAAAACAAACAAAAGCAACGTTCTAGTATGCTGGAAGATTTTCCATCAGTATTTTAAAGATCGGTGAATATAACCACCACTCACATTTATGCACCAAACTCTAAAGCCAAAGAGGAGAACTTGAAGATTTCTACCAACCTCTGCAGCCTGAAATTAATCGAGCATATAGTCAAAATGCATTGACGATAACTAGTGACAAGACTGCAAAAGTTGGAAATAAAGGAAAAGGACCAGCAGTGGAAACATAAAGTCTTGGTGATAAAAATGATGCAGGAAATCAGGTAACATAATTTCCTAAGGTCAATGCTAATTTTCATTGCAAATACCTTTTTACAACCTCACCAGAGGAATCCACAGGAATGAAATAATCGGCATCTGCGGAAAGCGATGATGGAGAAGGGCAGTCTTTTTAGTCACATCAAGGCCAGGGACTGACTACAGAAGAGATGCTCTCTTGCTCATATGCAAGTTCAAGCGGAAGCTGAAGAATGTTTTTTAAAGGTGCACTTGACCCAAGCCATGGCATTTTCGATTGCCCTGCATGCATATAAAAGCTGGACAATGAATAAAGAAGACCAAAGAGGAACCAAGGCCTTTGAATTACAATGTTGGTGAAAAACACTGAATATATTATGGACTGCCATAAGAATGAAGAAACTCGTTTGGGAGAGGATAGATTCGAGGATAGTAAAGCCCATCTCATGCACCTTGAAAGACAATACACTTGGTAGCGCAGAGGGTCAGCGAAGAAGAGGACTCTTAATGAGACTGATTGACAAAGTATTCAAGCCACATGTTTTTTGGGGGTTTCTATGAGTCAGAATGAACAAATAATCAGAGAAGCTGGATTATTCTAAGAAGAATGTGACATAAGGATTGGAGGAAGGCTTATTAACAATCTGTGATATGCAGATGACACAACCTTGCTTGCTGAAAGTCAGGAGGACTTGAAGCACTGGCTGACGAAGATCAAGGACTGCATCCTTCAGTGGGGATTACAACTCAAGGTTAGGAAGACCAAAATCCTTACAACTGGACCAGTAGATAACATCATGGTAAGTGGAGAAAAGATTGAACTTGTCAAAAGATTTTGCCCTGCTTGGATCCTCAGGCATTGCTCATGGAAGCAGCAATCAAGAGATCAAACACAAATTGCATTGGGTAAATCTGCTGCACAAGACCTCTTAAAAAGGTTGAAAAGCAAGAATCTTACTTTGAGAATTAAGGTGAGCCTGACCCAAGCCATGGCCCTGTCAATCACCTCATCTACATATAAAGTTGGACACTGAATAATGAAGATTGATGAAGAATCCATGCATTTGAATTGCGGTGCTGGAGAAGAATATTGAAAACACAACGGACTGTCCAAAGGACAAACAAATCTGTCTTGGAATCCATACAGCCAGAATGCTCCTTAGAGGCAAGGATGATGAGACTTCCTCTCATATACTCTGGACATGTGGTCAGGAGAACCCAGTCCCTGGAGAAGGACCTCATGCTTAACAGGGTGGAGGGACAATGAGAAAGAGGTAGACCTGAAGTAGATGGATCGACACAGTGACGGCAGCAATGGACTCAAACTTAAGAACAATTGTCAGGCTGGCACAGGACTAGACTACCTTTCGTTCTGCTGTACAGAGGGCCACCATAGGTCAGAACCTGGGGGATCCAGAAAGGTTTTTCCCCAGGTTATCACCTGCTTGCTAGCTCATTGTGTAGCCAGCCGCTTGGAGGTATTCTCCCTGGGGGCATTAGCCATCCAGTCCTTTCAGACTATTGTCTGCCCTACCACTGGTGGGGCCCACATCCTGATGATAAGGATAGTGACTGTCTCCCTCAAAGAGAGCCCGGAGAAAAGGTCAAACCCACTCAAGGAAGGCCAACGTTAGGCTGCCATCTTGAATCTAGGATCCGCCCATCTTGTCACATGTGTGCCCCTAGTCCCTCCCCTTCCTATTACATGTGCACCCCTAGCTCATCCCCTTCCTGTGATGCATATGCCTATGATACAACCCCTTCCTGTGATGTATGCGGCTACCTGTAATCAGGGGGGCTTGCACACCCCTAAGTATATATAAGTCTTGGTTAGAAATATACCCTCTCCTCCCCCAGGATTTTGTGCAGAACTGGCTGCTGAGATCATGGCCGTCCCAGAAGTGAGCATGCTACCATAAACTGTGTCTGACTCCTTTATTTTATCTTCTCTCCTACCTCTCCTATTCTCTACCACTTCACTATAATCTCTATATATTATTGCCATACAATTGCGCCTACGCCCCCTCAGAAACCCTTTCTTTGTGTCAGCATCTGGCAACCCCATAAACTGAGGTCGCTGGCCCAAATGCACACAAGAGCTAAAAGAATCTCAAAAACTCTGAGCTCACAAAGCCCATTGTCTTTAGAAAGCACAGGTAAAGAACACCCAGCAAATGAGCAGGCAATACTGTTGATAAGTATAAATGAGTGTCAATTTAAATCAAGCTAACACTCAGGAAAGAAACAGCAGTGATATATTGTGTCACAATTGTACCAGGTTTCCCAGATTCTACCCTGACCTTGTAGCATACCGGGCAAACCGTTTTATGAAATGCAAGGTATTTAGAGAAGCCACCTGTTAGGTCATCTGACAGTGGATATTTTTATCCACCTCTGTGAAAGGAGATGGGTGTAGTCAATCCATCTGTTGAATGATCAGGCGTAGGCTGAAGTGTAAGGGGTAATGGATGGCTTGTGAATGTGAGAAACCGATAAAGGAGCCATGAATTCCACAGCACTAATTCTTCTTTTAAGGAGTTCTTCTAGCACAGCGGTTAAGCGCTCAACAGCTAACAAAAATAGTGTCGGTAGTTCAAATCCACCAGCTGCTCCAAAGGAGAAAGACAGGGTAGTCTGTTTGTGTAAGATGACAGCTTTGGAAACCCTATGGGGCAGTTCTACACCACACAGGGTTGCTAAGAGTCGAAATTGACTTGTCAGCACCTGACAACCACAATCGTGCATCTGCTCTGGAGTGAGCACTTACCTATGAAGTCTGTCTGGGCGCGATGTTTTTAGACACATTGAAAGATATGTTGTAGCACATTGGCAAACAGGGAGGGAGCTTCACTTGGACAAATGCCTTAGAGAAGTAGGAACCTGACCTTGGCTACTGTTTCTATGCAAGCCTTACAAAGGCAGCTAAGTTTAATTCAATGGCAAGATGGGTATGTGCAGGGCACTACATTAGGTAACAAGAAAACGGAAAAGATGTCTTTATGTCCAGAACTTTCAGTCAAACGATGCTGTGTAGATGCCGTCGAGTCAGTTGCCACTCTAGTGACCCTGTGCAGAACAGAAGGAAACCCTGCCCAGGCCTGCCCGTCCTCCCAATCGTTCCCATGCTAGAGTCCACTGTTGCAGTCACCGCATCGGGCCATCTCGTTGGGGGCCTTCCCCGTTATCACTGCCCCTCACTCGGCCAAGCATAATGTCCTTCTCCACGGCCTGGTCTCTTCTGACAACTTGTTCAAAGTATGCACGACCACGTCTCACCGCCCTGGCTTTTCTAAGGAGCACGCTGGCAGTACTACTTCCAAGGCAATCTGCTTGTCCTCTTGGAAGTGCATGGTACTTTCAACATTCTTCTCCTGCACCACAATCCAACCGCATGGATTCTTCTTCCGTCTTCCTTATTCAGTGCCCAACTTTCACTTGCATGGCGAGGCCATTGAAAATGCCATGGCTTTAGTCAAGCCCCTCTTGGTTCCCAAAGTATCATCCTAGCTTTTCAATATTCTAAAGAGGTCTTGTGCAGCAGATTTACCCAGGGGTATTTGTCTTTTGATCTCGACTGCTGTTTCGATGAGCATTGATTGTGGATTCCAGCAAGACAAAATCCTTGACAACTTCAACATTTCTCCATCTATCACCTACTGGTCCAACTTGTGAGGACTTCGGCTTCTTGACATTACGTTGGAATCCACACTGAAGGCCATGGTCCTTGATCTTCATCAGCCAGTGCTTCAATTCCTCCTCACTGTCAGCCATCAGGGTTTTGTGTCACCTGCATATCACAGGTGGCTAATACGCCTTCTGACCCTGATGCCATTCGTCTTCGTATCAGCCCGTTTCTCTGATGACTGGTTCAGTAAAGCAACGGAATTCGTAGAGTAAGAGGAGACAACCCTGAAACACACCTTTCTTGATCTTAAACTACACGGTATTCCCAGTCAAGAAATGGGATGGGATAAATACATTCACCTAAAAACTACAATTCACATTCACTGTGACTCCATGTGTGCTAAGCAGACCAGTTCTGTAGACAGAAACCTGTCTTCCCAGGTGCCTCTGGATGGGTGTACACCGACAACCTTTCTATTAGTAGTCAAACATCCGTCTGTACTACATAAGGATTCTCGACGGCGTAATCATTCGTCTATACAAATTCCCTGTAATTCTAGTAAATCCCAGTCTTTCCTCTTTGTGTCTATTATTTTTAAAGCTGCAAAATTGTCATGACTGTAGAACAAGAAAATAATCAGTTCTGCCTGTAAATGTCGGAGAAGGAAAAACCACCACCTCTTTAGTTCACTACGACCCACTTGAAACCCTGAAAAGGGTGCTGCCATCTCTTCAAGTTCTTCCACAGTTTCTCGTTAACGGACCGCTGTCTCAAGCACTGTTTTCTTTTTTTAGCAAAGCACTGGTCTTTGAATGATGTCTCTCAAATCTGAAAACACCTCAATCTACGCTAGATTGAAATGCTTAATGAGGACGGCTGATAGAATCAGCTATTTTAAGAAAGGAAAAAAACGTAGTAAGTCTTAGTCATTGTGTCTGGCATTGTAATTTGGCAATTCTCAGTATTATATATCATTGTTAATATCACTTAGATTGTAAACATTATAAAATATTGCCTACCAGACCCTGGTGATCAATAAGGTTTTCATTGGCTGACATTCAGAAGTAGATAGATAGGCCTTCCTTCGGATTATCTGGGTTTGGAAGTTAGTCCGTGTATCCTAGCTTCATCCATTTATATCAAAACGCAAAGCACCAAGCACACTGTCCTTCAGTCCATGTTGATTCTAACAATCCTATGATTGCTAACGTACAAACTGCAACTGCCCCATCAGGTTTCTAAGGCTCTAAGTCTTTGCAGAAACAGACGGCCAAGCACATCATTCTCCTGTGGAGTGGCTGGTAGGCTCTCACAACAGCCCTTCCTGTCAGCTGCTGAGTGCTTTAATTACTGTGCTACCTGGGCTCCTCACAGGCCTTTATAGCCTCTGGAAATGGGAAGATAGAAGCTAAGACCCTAGTAGTGTGAAAGTGAGCAGCGATTAGACAGAATGTTAAATGCTATGTTCACCTACTAGAGCTCCAGAAATAGTAACACCAGGAACAGAGCACTTTATTTTAAAGGGATCAGGTACAATATTCACCACACACGCTAGGATGAGTGGATTCCCACACTCAAATTGTCTAGTAAAGCGAGAGAGAAAGTTGCCATTAACTCCAAATAACGTCTATCCATGGACAAACCAAAACATGAGGCCCTGAACGCACAGCTCAATGGATCAAGGCAAGAAATTAAGTCACTGGATTGACCTGTGTGGGTTCCTCTCAGCCTCACCTTTTATTGTCCCCACCGTGGTCTGCCATGGCCGGTCCTCCACACGGACCAGAGGGAGGTGTTCTGAGGAGGGATAGGAAGCCTGGTAAAACGACCCCAAGGACTTAGAGCTGACATGTCCACGTGTGACAAGAGGCAGGCGCTGCCGTGCCAGAATGGTGGATTTGGTGGTTGCTGTACTTCGATCTGTAAAGCCTTAGGATGCGTCATGAAGGGTAACCCAGGACTGCCATGTATTGCTATTGTATCTAACTTTTTTAAAGCCTTACATTCTGTATTTCCATTGTGTGTCACCATTGTTATTCATTATCAATTTCATTATATTATTATTATCCACTTATGAGCCAGGGAAAACCTGTGAGGTGGGCAGGTATGGTCAGAAATTTGTCCAGGTTTCCTGAGGGGGAGGGTGGAGACGCTTCAACAGCACAGAGTGACTAGATTTGCTATGACAATATGCTCTCTTTGCTTTCTTATGACATGCATTAGTCTGGTTGGCAAGGTTCTCTCTTTGTGAATGGATGTTACTGAACATTTTGCCCTATCACCAACCCACGTTATTCCTATAAATATTGTCCAATCACTTACCTACTTAATCTGTACAAGTCAACAATTCCTGTATTATAGACTGAAAAGCCATCTTAAACTTGTATAATTTCCTTTTCTCAACAATGTTTTTAATTCTTTGCCCTGGCTAAATCATTGACACAATCCATAGAATTGCCTTATGCCCCAGGGGGCTGATTTAAATGTTCTCTGTCATAAATGATAATGATGTTTCTAACACGAATTAGGGACATATCCAAAACATAGGTATATGAATGGATTTTTGGCCTCGCACCTAATTCTAGCTCCAATCTAAATTCTTAAAACAGAGTCCTACTTGATGCTTACCCTCATGAAGAGATGACTGAAGGTAGAGTGCTATAGCAAAGTGCGGTGAGGAAACCAGAGAGTACCTAACTATTAGGAAGAACTGCCTATCAGTCTTAAAGACTTGTGCTCAAACAACAGCCAGCTGAGTGAGGCATCACCTAAAGTCTACATAGAAGAAGCACACACAAGCCTGCGTGATCCCAGGTCTATAAACATAGGCTTCAATTCCGAATTTCTGGTTTGCAGAAGGCTATGGTTAACAGTGAAAGCCCAAAAGTCATTTGTCTAATCCCCATGAGGAACAAGCCTCTGGTGAATCCCCTCTGACCATAGATAGTACAGGGATGCGAATGGTCTTGCTATCAGACAGGGAACATGGGAGAGTCCACTTTAGTAGATGTAGTTGGGTTAAAATATAACACCTTATCATTTGTTCTCCCACTTTTTTAGGGGGGGCTCACTTTAAAGTTGTTTCAGTTTTAATATTTTCTGCTTTCTTTTCAATTGAGGTTTTTCCCTGTTTTGTTTTGTAGGTGTTGTTGATTTTTCATTTACTTCTTGTTTGTGTTTTGTATGACTTTCTGTATATGAAATATAAGACATATAAATCTATAGAGCCACTAACTGGATTGGTACTTACTAAGAGGCATGGCAAGGAAGGCTGGGGGGAATATAGGGAGTTAATAACAATGAATGAGAAGAAAATGTTCCAAAATTGATTGTGCTGATGACTGCACAACTCTTCTAAACATGATTGAGTAGTTAAGTTGTGTGATAAGTAAATTATATGCCAATAAAACTCTTCAAAAATAATACAAAATCACATTGGAAGGGAAAAAACAAAACTGCCCCAACGTCCAAACTCCACACCTCATAACGAAGTTGCCGTTGTCTTCAGGTCCCGTTTTGGAAGACCCTGCGGTCAGCAACCAACTGAAAGACCTCCATGAAACTCCCACCCGAATGCAATCCGTTTACAGGACGCCCGGTGCCTGCCCTGGGTGGGTCTGGGACAAAATCCCAGGGCAGTGGCCGGACGTGGGTCCTAGAGCCCGGCAGCTCTCTGAGTCATCGTCCGACAAGCTTGCTGTTTGAGCACGTTTCCTTCACCGCTGGGAAGAAGTAAGAATCCCCGTTAACTCTACTTACATCGAGCAATAAAATCTCCCCAAATGAAAGGGGGGGGGGGTGCCGGGGAAGCATGAGATTCTTCTATTTCCTGCAGACATTTTAAATCACGAAGTAAATAGCAACAGAACCACTTGGCCCACCGTCAGGCAGTACGCATGCAAGTTCAACAGTGAGACCAGCTGCTACCACGTCAGCTTGAACTACTGGTGATCAATCTGCCTAGACACAGACTGATCATAGTACAGGAGAGTTTCTCTTCACTTAAAAAACATACCTTAGCAATTTTTAATTAGTCACACAAATAAGTTCCTTAAAACTGATATTAAAACTAATTCTTTATGAGAAGATACAAAATCGGGGGTATAAAGAGGAATATGAATAAATGCAATTATGACATTTATACGTTTTTCTTTCGTTTGTTGAATTTTATCATTTCTAAGTTGCCCCAACATTTCACCTAAGACTCTCAGACTCTCAACTGGAAACCACATGGCACAAAGTGCAGGCTAAGTAATAATTTTTCTCTTCCGAACACATTTCCCCCAATGTATCATCCAGCAGCCAGGAGTTGTGATCCGAATGACGTTCAAGCACTGCGGGCAAACACATCTGTTCCTTGTCCCCTCAAGGAATCAAGCAGCTTCTGGACCTGGTACGGTTTCCTCAAAGTAACCCTGATATGGCTGAAGCATGGCGTTCACAGGAATCAAACCCGAGGTCCTCCTGCGGGGCATCACGACTCTTGGCAGGCACCAGTCTCCCCAAGCCCCTCCCCTGAGGTTTGGAGCAGTGTCAGTGAGATATTTGCTCAACAAGGCAGTGCTTCTCCAAAAAAAAAAATTGAAACCCCTCACTGCTATTGCGTTCTACCCTATAGGATAGAGTAGAACTGCCCTTGGGAGTGTCCCAGGCTGTTAACTCTTCACAGGGAGTAGAAAGCTCTGTCTCGCCTGTGGAGTGGCTGGTGATTTCGAACAGCTGACCTTGCAGGTAGCAGCTGACCGTGTAATCACGACACCACCAGGACTCCCTTAAAAAGCCCCAGACCTCTGCCAGCCAACCAGAGTCAGCCAGACAGCAGAAGAAGGCTTCATGGAGTCTCATCTCTCTGAAAGACTTGGAGTTAAACCCCAATCGGGGAGCAGACAGCCAGGCCTTCCACCCGCAGGGCAGCTGGTAGGTTCCAATGTGCCACCAGACCTCTTGAGCAACGACTGCAAACTGTCACCCCCACAGCCTGACAGCCCTTAAGTGGCCCTGGGCAGCTTTCTAAATCTCAAAGGAAGGGAACGGCTCCTTAGGCCTCCCTGGGTCAGACAACAAACCACCAGGAAGCAGACGCCTACATGGGCT